GGGGGGGGGGGGGGGGGGGCACGGGCAACACCACTCACCGCTCGGCCGAGGACATTAGGGGGACGGCTGTGAAATATCACCTCCCCAATTTCTGCAAACACAGCAAAGACTCGCTTTATAGACTGTCAGCATCAGATATATGGACCGAGGCACATGAACATGGAAACTAACTTTGGTAAATGAGGGAGAGAAAGATGACATCAATCCAGTGAGGGTGGGGGGGGGGCAGTCTGGGACTGCTCACACCACCTAAGAGCTGAATGAGTCAAAAGCAGGTGAAAAGGAGGCTCCAGTATCACTCTGGTCAACGGGATGAGAAAATGATATGCGGGAGCGCAAACCCTGCTGCAAATAGAGCTGCGATTCAAACACACCGGCATTGCCGTCGAGTTCCGGAACGGAACAGGGACGGCCGCTGGCAGCTTCGAGACAGGGCTGTGCAAACTCAGACAAGACCCTACGTAGAGGCCAAGAAAAAAACGGAAAAAATAAAAACAACCTGCACTGGCAGCAGAGAGACCTGAAACATCCTACTGCTAATCACAGTGCAGGAGGAGCTTTTGGCTGCTTAATCTCCACTTCGACAGGGCGGCGAGACGCAGTGCATCCTTACGCTGCTAAAACAGCTACGCTCCGTAATCTGATCCAGCCAAAGCCGTTTCACGCGAGGAATATGTAAATGCGTTATGTACGCTCCGCCAAATATAGAAATGAGCCGAGGGCAATGGCTTTTATTTGGTCCCTGCTTACTCACAGAGTCAACATACAGAAGTACATCTTAAACAATCCAGCCATTACGCTAATCAGCCTGCACAATTTTTTCGGAGGGAAAAAATGTTAGGATGCAGGATGTCATTGTCACTGACCTGTGCCAGCGGCCCTCCTACACCTTCCTGCACAGTAATATGTCCTCGCATACAGTACGCCCAGCCCCTCTTCAAAAAGCACCAAACACACTGCTTAGTGACCAACCCCCACCCCAAGCCACCCCCTCCCCCCCAACGTGCCCCTTCACTGTTGGAGCTCGTTTGCCGGTGGGGCCGCAGCTAAGCAACCGGGTCTCTCCTCCTCTATTAACTCATCCACTGTGCTTTAGGGATGAGCAGGTAGGTGAAGGAAGTGAGTTACAGTGAACAAAGAGTCCCCATATCCAAACGGGGGGGGCAATGAAAGACAACGAAGTCTTTACAAAGCCACAGTGAGACATTCCCCCTTATATGTCTCATCTAGAACACCAACACATCACACCACTAGACCATGCTTTTGTTAGGCTACAAGTATCGATTACAAGCTAACGCGATGACAAAAATGCTTAACAGAATTTCCGCATTTACGTCTTTCCTGACTGTACAGGTTAGGACTAAATCTTTGGGGCCTTATGTGAGTTTTGTGATCTTGTTCTAAAGACAGCCCACTCCCCCACCCCCCAGTTTCTGAACAGAGGGCCAATAAAACGCTTCAATGACGCACGACAAAAGCGCCGCAGACATCTCTGAAGCAAGCTGACGCAGGTATGCAGGACAAAGCCATTTTCCGGACGAGAGAACGGATATTAACGATGATTCACATGCGGCTGATCAGCATCTAACTGACATTCAGTATTCAACAATTTTGGCAGACCCTGCCATCATATTCCACAATATAACCCACAATCAATTCCTTATCAGTTTTTGGCATTAAATTATGACTGCAAAAACATTGAGGCGTTTAAAGGTGGTTTATTAAAAATTAATCAGTAAACAGAGATAAAACATCTATTTCTTCTTTATGTTTCTGTCATTCCTCTGATATTAGAATAATATCCGAAGCATGGCGCACTCCTGATTTTCTGACATAGTCATAGTGCAACGTCAAAACTATGAAAAAGAAAAAAATCAGGCCCAGTCTTCCAGGCACCGTTTAGGATAGCAGAGACACTATTAAGGCTTAATTCAGTGTCGCTGGGGTGATGCTTCTGTCCATTTTCAGCAGCAAGACATGAAGCTAATTCCCGAATGATCAATATTAAGAGCATAAACCATCCTGGATACCCCTATCAATGACTTTATCGCCTATAACGAGTTGTGTGACTCTGACCACCGTAAAAAAGCACACAGGTGAAATCAGCCATACAGCAGACTCTGCAGCCACAACGATCTATCACAGTCACACACATTGCAATGTCGGAATACTTTTCTCCATAAATTTCACACTTTCATCACATTTGCCAGTTTTTCATGCAGTTTTTCACCTCATGTATCATTAATCAGGACAGAAGCAATACCTTGATATTTACCACAAGGGATCTACACTTCATGTGTGAATTGCTCATTTGGGATTAAACCCTTAAATGAGAGCCATTTTAAATGTCATTACCAATTAATAAATTAAATTAATTGATATAATTTATAATTTAACTCTAATGGAGTTAATATTTAACCCTAATGGTGCTACTATGGATAATCTATATTACACAAATACCAGTCCATATCATACAAATTAAACACATATTAAAGTATTGCATGGGACTGGAATCCCATTTAGGGTGTGTCTTGTGCTGCCTGGGTTTGGCCCCAGTGTGCCCCCCCCCAACGACTGCTTTCTGTGTGGAGCTCCCCTTCACCAGTCATTCTACCTTAGGCATACTGATTTCAGGGAGGCAGATAAGGGACAACTGGCGGGGAGTACTGGCTGGGTATTACGGCAATATTCCCCTCGGCAAATGTTGTTGGCAAATACCAGAGTAGTGTTGCTTTTTAAATTACCGTCAAAATACCATATAATGCAGTATAATGCCTGGACGCTATGACATATTAAAAACTGGATACTGGCCAAACTTGGGGGGGGAGGGGCAATTTACTGGGTTTGGGGGATGTTGTGGTAATGAAACTTCATTGTACCACCACTGAACAGCAGAACAACATATTCCCGGGGCACTGGGCATCATTGTCGGGTGTCAGGGAGATGCTGTAAATCTGGAACTCTGGAACGTCTGAGGGAGATGGGACAGCTGCTTTTTTTGTTTAATGGGAATCCAGATTCCCCCCACAGACCAAAGACACAATTACGGCATGATTAAGCAAACTGGAATCTCTAAATTGCCTATAGCATGAAATTTTGTGTGGGTGCCTCATTCTATCGAGGGCAGCTGCCCCATGACCCAGGACTGGCTAAGCGGCTGAAAGATAGACAGAAATATTAAATTAATTATGCGTATGTAAGCGATTATTATTATTAAGGTGTCTTTGGGTCACTCACACGGATGCAAACGGCCAATTAAACAGTGGACAAATAAGCAGACTGGGCTTCGAAGAAATACACAGCTACACGTGTCAGGCGACTCAATGGGTCTGTAACCGACTCCAAGAAGAAGCAGAATTCTCGGTTACTCAGCCGTGACCAAAGAAATTACACAGCGGCTGGGAGCCTGGGGGGGTTAAGGATTTGAACGGGATGCCAGCGCGGCGCTCCAGGCCGAGCCGCCTAACCTTCAGCGCAACATCCAGCTAATTAAACGGGTGGAACCGCGAGGTACACGGGTTGCGGGATCAAGCTGCCTAGTAGACAACGAGGAGAGGTTAACGGAACTGAATCTGTTCAGCCTTGAGCAAAGGAGAATAAGGGGGGATATGATTCAGGTCTATAAGATTCTAACGGGTCTGGATGCTGTTCAGCCAAATGACTATTTCAATATTAGTCTAAATACTAGAACTC